AAAAATGGCCAAACAACAATAAATAAAAAAAGTCGTTTGGGGCACAACTGATGACTGATTGACCACAATTCAGCAGACGTAATATATAATCCAGATGAATGTAAAAAAAAAAAAAAAAGTTTAGCTGGTGATCCTTGTACGGCGTCCTATACGTAATGGAATTCAACTTGTTAAATTGCGGATTTTTTTCACAGATAGATTTTTCAGATGAGCTCTTTGTGTTGTTCACTGAAGGTTTGAAGGTATTAAACTGCGGAGTAAAAATAAGACGTAAAAAAAAAATGTCCGGCTTTCGCTTTCAGCTTTTATATATATTTTTTCTTCTTCCCAACGTGACGTCGGGTCACAGTGATCTGCGCGCACTGGATGATCATATTCAATTTAGCTTTTATCTATGTCGCTTTCCTTCAGCAAAAAAAAAAAAAAAAAAGAAGAAGAAGCAGCTAAATTATTGAATGTTCTCCAGCCCACCCCTACCTTGCTTATTCAAGCGCATCACTTTTATGGTAGTTATCAGCGAATCAATAGATAAAAGAGGAAAATAAATAAATAAAAGCAGCGTTTGTCAGCTGAATGGTTCCCTCGCAGCTAGGTTACAGCAATTTTTAAAGTGCTGTTTGTGGCAGATCGGAGTGATTCAAAACCAGAAAAGGAAAAGAAAACTCATTACTGGTGGTAGGAAGGGGCAAATTGATGTGACAAAAACAAGAATAATTCCACATTTGTAGGATATTAAATTGTATGCACGCTTGGCTTGCGTTTGTTTCTGTGTCATTATTCTCCAACATCCTCAGACGCACTCTGTAATGTTTTTTCATTTAAACCCTAATCAGAATTTCGGTGCAGTCCTTGTGCTCTCACCTCTGAGGTATTTCTTCCCACTCATGTTTCTTTTTTTTTTTTTTCAAACTGCAGCAGGATATGAGAAATTTAATGTATAGTTTCATCCTCCTTCGCTCTGCTGAAATGTGTCTGGCAGTGTTTTGTTTTTTTCCCCCTCAGACATTTTTCATCAACCTCAGGATTGCACTGCACACATAGAAATTGCCTCCTTTTAATACTGTGCGCTGATGTCATTTGAAATTTGATGGAAATGAAGAACGCAGCCTTGCAAAGGTTAACAAATAGAAGCGAAATCCAATGTAATGAGCAGCCTTCAGAAGTCGGCTAATTTGGAACAACACTGACGTCCTACAAAAACGCAACAAAAACCTCCCAGATTGGACAGAACAAATTGATTACACAATATGATCAGCAGGTGGGATGTCTATTAATGTGGCGAAAGTCATGAGTTGAGTCTCCAGTAACAGGTAACCCGAGTGGCAAACCGAAGGTACTGAATTCATCCATGTGTACTTATCTTGTGCGTCTCTATCTTTACAGGAATTTCTACTACATCACTATGCTGCGTGATCCGGTGTCCCGCTACCTCAGCGAGTGGAAGCACGTGCAGCGTGGGGCTACTTGGAAAACAGCCCTCCACATGTGTGATGGCCGCCCTCCCACTCAGGATGAGCTTCCCGCCTGCTACAGCGGGGAAGACTGGACTGGTGTGCCCCTCACGGACTTCATGAACTGTCCCTCGAATTTGGCCAACAACCGTCAGGTGCGCATGCTGGCCGACCTAAGTTTGGTGGGGTGCTACAACATGTCCTCCATGAGTGAGCTGGAGCGAGGCCGCGTGCTGCTCGCCAGCGCCAAGGCGAACCTGCGCAACATGGCCTTCTTCGGCTTGACGGAGTTCCAGCGTAAGACGCAGTATCTGTTCGAGAGGACTTTCGGGCTTCGCTTCATCCGGGCCTTCACCCAGATCAACAGCACGCGCGCCGCGAGCGTGGGGATAAGTGAGAAGGTGCGGTGGCGCATCGAGGGGCTCAACGCCTTGGACGTAGAGCTGTACGAGTACGCCAAAGAGCTGTTCCTGCGCCGCTACCAGGATAACCGGCAGAGGCAGCACCAGGAAGAACGGCTCAGGAGGCGGCAGGAGAGGCAGCAGAGGCAGCGGCTGCACAGGAACTATCTGGTGGAGCTGCTAAGACTGGGAGGTGGAGGAGCGGAGGAAGAGGAAGAAGGGGAGGAGGTGAAAGTGCTAGAGGAGGTAGTCACCACCGAGGATTACAGTAGCCAGGTGGTGCGATGGTGAGGAGCCGGAACATTACAGTACTGACTGACCGCGGATGAATTTCATCGCTTCCTGTGACTCAGCCGGGACCTCTCACCCTTCACAGGCTTATAGCGCTATGTCAGACTGCCGAAAGGTGTCTTAATATTTACGATGGATGTATTTGCTATAGCAACATGAACATTTTGTATATATATTTTTTTTTTTTTTCTTCTTTTTTTCTTATGGCTAATCTTTTGGCACTGCAATTGTGGAAAATGTGTTTATTTATTCATTTGCAAGTGCTTTGAATGTTCTCAAGGTGGTGAAAATACGCCTCAAGTTGCGCAATAAAAGAAAAATACAAGGATATGAAAATATGTATAATATAAGAGAGGCCAATTTATTACAGTTCCTAAATAATGACTGCGTCCTTGACGTCCTGTTTGTTATTTAGCTCCATGTTGAAATCTTGTGACTCTGTGGTGTTTGGCTTTATAAGAGTATCAAAGCACAAACTTGGCAAACAGCAGCGTTGTTTTCTTCTTTCTGACTGCACTGATGAAACCAACTGTTACAAATGAACCAATAAAACTGGTGTAACAAGTTAATTACATTTTATTTGACTAGATTCTTAAGAATTTTTCAGAGAAGTGACACAAATTTAACAGCTATTATGCACGTTTCCCCACACGGTTGGAAAAAGACTACAGAAGTAGAAAATAAAGAGTGTAATAGTAGGAAGAATTTAATCCCAGGCTTTATTCCTGTTCTTCTTTGTCTAAAAGATTTACTTTCATCTGAACTTTCTTTCCTTGCCTTCATCTTTGTGTCCTTCCTTCCTATGTTTGGGGCATTCCTTCTTCCTCTTTCCTATTCTGTCATTCCTTTCTTTTAAAATAATGCTAAATAATTATTTTTAAAAAGCTATACAGTCTGAGCTTGCTTCAGGAAAATTGATCGTCCCAAAAACCAACAACTAGTTGAGTTTTTTCCCCCATGAAAAGGAGAGCAGTGGGCCTGAAAGACAAGCTGTCAGAGCCACTTCGAGCTCTCTTACATCACACTGACGGAACATTGGTATTTGTACCATTAGGCCATTGATCACAGGGCTCTTTGCTTCCAAATTGATCATTTAAACTTCAATTGGCCGTGACTCTGCTGCAGCAGAAAATAGAAGAAGCTGAAGGCTTTTTTTTTTGCAATCTGAGAACCGTGCAGCTCGACGGACGCTCCATTTTCGCTTCAGTAGAAAAACAATCAGGTTTTGCAAATTTCCACAGACAGCAAACCTTTAAAAGTTAGGTGCCGGGGCGATTGCCTAAAATTAATATCCTGGCGCCGGCGTCTGTGATCCGCACTTCCTGACGGCTCTGTGATGCGCTCCAGAGGAGGGAAAAAGTGTAACGTCGAGATCAATTTGGAGGCAAAAAACAGAATATCCGTGGACTAAAATAGCTTTCCCATTCCCGGCTGTCGACTCTACCTGCATGGCGTTTAGGGGAGAAACATAATATTGACTGCGTGCTCACTGAAGATGGGAATCTTAAAAACCCAAATTCATACAAAGAAAAACACATCTGGATGAATTATTGACTGGAAAACCAGCTTGTCTTTTAGAGAAGATATAAACTCATTTGACTTCTGATTAAATTGTAGCTACTTCCACAGGAAACATAACTGACCGTTTCTGGACAAACTTAATTTATCTGAAATTAAGTTATCTTAAGATATCTTAAGTTGATATCTTAAGACATTTACGTCTAATCATTTTATAAGGTGAATTGTAAAGATCACAAGCTCCAGAACTGTGATTTTTTTTTTCTTATTCATGGTTTATGCTTAATTTACAACACTTTCAAAGTTCAAAAATAAATTGTCCAAAACGTTAAATGTGAACAGAAGTTCTATAATTTCACATGGACTTATTGCTGTCACTTTGGGGTCCATGTTTACTGAAGAACAAAGTCTTATCTTTTAATCCAAAGGTTTGAATTATAGCAATAAAAAGATAAACATTTAAGGATTTAATGAGCAAACTTCAGAACAAACTTGTGAGCATTTGTTACCATGAGATTCACCTGTGTTTATATAGCATTAAGTAATTTTAAAAAGCTTTAACTTACCTTATTTCTACCGAGGAGCCAATCTGTTTATTCAACTGCAGTTTCAACCTTATGGCAGCAATTTCTCCTTATGCTGAAACGGTACAAGCAAAACAGACGCCATGAGAAAGAATGTACAATCTATTCATTTATTTCAAATAAGACAGATCTTATAGTTATATTTATTAATGTGATCTTTCCCAGTAGTCCTTTAGGTTTAACTAATCTATTCAGTGTCCTTCATCAGTGTGGTACTTTTCATCTGTTGCTAGATGAGACGACGGATTTGGAATGATAATTTTGAAATGTCTTGAGACGAAATCTAAACCGTGTTTTTGACATTTGAAGTGCAAACTTTCACAAATTTATGGGCAGCGAGACCCTAACCCACCTTAAGATCCACACTGAAGAGACCTCCATGGATGGATAGTCACTTCCTCAATGAGCAAATCAAGCTGCCTCTAATAACAGGAGAGGGGAGATTATCAACATCCTACATATAATATATAGTATATAAAATTGTCCACAATAAATTACAAAAATGCTAAATAAAAACTGTCATTTTGGTTTCTTTCCTAATACTGATTGACACATTTTCTCAAAATGTACAAAAATCCTTTTTTCTTTTCTATCCTTCTGAAATGTTTGCATCACGTGACATTATCATTTATTGATTTGAAATGTGAAATAATTATTCAATGTTTTATTTAACTTCCAATACATATATATATATACATTTTAAAAATGATAAAATAATATAAAACAAAAATAAAAAACTTATCTGTTTTGTTTTCTAGTAATTCTTCCTGGAAGTTGTGGAACCAACTCGAACAAAATAAACATCATTAGCGGTGGCTAACCACAGCGCTCACATTAGCCGCCCAAATGTTCACGTTTTCCAATATATGCTTCGGCTCTAAAGTGTCAGCTATTAAATACACACACTAAGACATCTGACGTTGTGAATAAAGTACATTTTTCGGGATCATTTGCATCCGCCGGTCCCCTTTTCTCTTCACTGGAGCTGCCAAATCTTGCAGAACCTCTTCCTCTTGACTGCAGATGCATTTAGTGGTCAGAAAGTTAATATTTAGCATACTTTTAACTCTGTTTGAAAACCTTGGGAGGAAATAATATCAACTTGTAGTAGAAAGAGACATAATGTGCGTTAATAATTTACAATAACGAGAGAATGAGGAACATAACAACATTAACCCCAGTCATGGCCGAGACATGACCTTGTTGCATTGAGGACCTGCAAAAACGTAGCACAGCTGTGGCTCAGAATGAGGGGAAAAGTGAAACCATGTGAGTGATAAATCAGTGTAAAAGTTGCTCAGCACAACTGTTCTCCACATTTTTGAGACTTTTATTTGCTATATTTGAAAACAGCGTGTGGGTTTCTTCACATTTCACAACGTGTGCTGGTCTCTGACATCAAGTCTTAGAAAACTGCATTGATGTTTTTTGAAGTGACAAGATCTGTAACGAGTGAAAGGGTTGTTTGGAACTTGGAAAGGCACAGCAAAATGCAACAGAAATTCAAAACTGTTAACATACCACTCAACGAAGAGAAAAGGACTTCAGCATACACCTGAACATGTCCATATAGTCAGAGCAACAATTAGAAAGCTTAAATTAACCCAATCAATTTGCTAATCTATTGTTTCATTGATGCAAACTGGTAAAATTCCTAATAGCACTAACTGTCCAATTGTGATGTAACAAATTACGCTCTCTAGTGTCCGTTCAGTAATTTCGTTGTAGGAAATTTCGTCGTTTTTGTCACGCAGTGGCCATGCCAGTCTCAGCTCGGTGGACGGTGTTCAGGTGGAGCATGGACGCTGCCTTGGCGAGCCACTGCTCCCGGCAAAAAATCTCCACAAAGGCCTTTCTGAAGTTGTCTCCTGAGAGAGTGTACAACGCCAGGTTGAAGAATGTGTTGAGTCCCGCCAGAGGCCTTGAGATAATATAAGCTGCATTCACAACATATTTTGTGCACTGTGTCGCTGAATTTGTCCGAATTTCCACCCACAAGACTCGTAAGACGTGGTACGGCAGGAAGCACATCGCAAACACCACCAGGATGAGGACGATGACGCGCCGCGCTCGCATCCTGCAGGAACTGGAGGGGTGGGCTCCACTAGTGAGCTGTTTCACAATGCCGATGTAACAGACAAACACCAGCAGTGAGGGTAGAGCAAACCCAAATGCAGTGAGCAACCAGTTGTACTCCCGAATGCTACCGACTGACTCAATGTTCGCAAAGTCAATGCAAAATGTCATGTTGTCCTTGGGGGTGAGGGATATGACGGTAAGCATTGGTGTGACTTCAGCGGCAGAGACAATCCAGACAACCAAGCAGGCAACGATTCCCCAAACCTTCTGTTGCACCTCCACCACTCTCAGCGGCCGGATCACCACCAAAAAGCGGAAAACCGCAACACAGGACAAGGACAGGATGCTCCCGTACAGGTGGAAATGAAACGCAAACCGCACAAAGCGGCACATGAAGTCGCCGAGCATCCACGACTCCCCGTTGCTGTAGTAGTAGACCAAAAAGGGCATGGTGAGGACATAGAAGAGATCCGTGAGGGCCAGGTTGACCATGATGATGCTGCTGCTCTTCCACGGACGCAGCTTTGCCAGGTAAATGCCTAAGGATGTAATGTTCCCCACGAGGCCCACAACAAAGATGATGCTGTAAGCAACAGAGAGGTAGTAACGTTTCAGCAGCACTTCCAGGTCCCTGCATCCATTATTGAGCTCGGCCATGGAAAAGCCCTATTGGGGAAAAAAAAACAGAAACATGACATTATTAACAGAAAAAGGTGATACATTGATTTTGTCATAAAAAAAAAAAATTAAAAAAAGACCTGAGAAAGGGACATTGGCCACGATGAGCTGCTCATATTTTGATGAGGCATTGGCACATCCTATTTAATTTCAAACTATATTTTAGCTGGAGCTAGCCAAGCTTTAGCCAGACTAATATATATATATATATATTTTAAATAACTTAAGTATTAAACTTAAGTTATTTGACAAAAAAAAGAAAGAAATCAGAAATAATTATAGTCACTTTCTTACTGGATTATTGGTTAAATGCTAAATTAGTTGGTTGGAAAAATGTAGGCAATTCAAAGCGAAGGTTCATTTTTTTCACATTTTGAATGTGCTACTGCTTAATTTGTAAAATAATATATTGTTCACTAAAAAAGGCTGATGTTCATAATGTATTGTATGTAATGTATAAACATGTTCACAAGCCAATAGCCAGACAAAGGTCATTGTTAGGGTCACCAACTATGTAGGTCAAGGTTAGGTTGTCAACACTGTTGGGGAAAAAAAACAAGAAACAAACTACATTTGAAAGCTGTAAGACATTTCAAAATCACAGTAAACATTGAAAGAAATGTATACAGATATTTTTTTTTAAACTTACTTTTAACTACTGCGTCCTCATCAGCCCAGGTCCTCAATGTGTTGCCTTTCCTTCATCTCTGCACCTCCCACTCACTGCACTTCCAGTCTTACACGCCCCAGGGGGGGAAACTCCAGTATATATTTATTTTCAGCTTGTTACGTAATTCACCTTTAGCCGTCTGCGGCGCCACATTCCTGAGTCACACTCGGAACCGATCAAGGTCCGGTTTCGTGCAAATTAACGGGAAACGAGCGCGGGAGCTTTTCATTTTGTTTGCTCGGGAAACAAGGGCCTCAATTGAGGTCTTTGTTCATTTTTCTCTCGAGGGCCTGCCGAGAGTTCGGCACCTGGGATGGGATGGGACGGCCCGCCGCTATCAAGTCTGTCATTAAAACAAGAGAGTGGGACGTTTTGCGGAACCCGAAAAAATATCAATAAATCTTCAGCCATTAACTTGTTGGCAAAATCTGGGTCAAATCTACTGACCCAGATTTTGCAGGTCAGCTTCATTATGCGATTTATTTCAGACTATTGAATATTTCAGACTATTTTCAAAGGATTATTTTCACAACATAATTAATGGGTTAAAATGGCCCAATTAAAACAAAGTGTCACTTCAAAGAAAAAAAAAAAGATGCTACTTTGCAACTCCTAAGCATGGTGGTGGCATATCATGCTGTGGAACTGCTACTAGTAATTCAATAATTAGTTGTAAATTTATGCCTTTCATTTAACTTTCTAAAATAATTTAAATTCAATCTTTTTTTTTGCAGCTATTGGTTCCAACTCGCCTGACTGTTTTCCACACTGTGTGTTTTTTCTCCTGCCAGTCCTGCTGGGACCTTGATAAATGTGACCTTGTGTCTGAAGATCATTACTCGGTGTTTTAGCATCAAGGCGACGTTTAGCTTTCACTTCCTTGTTTGCCCTCGAGGTCTCTTCTAATGCGCTGCCCTGGGAAAGCACAGCAAAAAAGAAAAGCGGAGGCAAGAAGAAGGTTTTTTTTATTTATTTTTTTTTACAAAAGACGAGCTAAAATTGTGTAAACAGAGATTTGGAGAGCCAACTAAATTGTGACTTTTTTTTTTAACACTGAGGGGATGAGGCGTCTTTGAAGCAGCAGCTGAAAGGAGCTTTGATTGTACAGATAAAAATCAGAAAAAAAAATATTAATGTCAAAGATCAACCGAGCGCCTTAGAAGCATTTCACAGGAGGAAGAAGATGAAGAGGAAGAGGAGGAGGAGGAGGAGGAGAGGGTCTTTGGAAGCTGTTAAATAGGCCCCGAGACGGAAAGTGGTTCCGTCTACAACTTGGGCATCCTGGCGGCGTTGAGGCGGACGGACACGCAGGAGGAGCCTGCCGCATAGCGCATCTCCCTCAGCATGCCGCTCCACTGCTTTTTGTCATCCTCATACCTGATAGGAACAGGAGAAGAGTCGCAAAACAAGAACAGTATTTTAAAAAATAATTGATTTTTTTAATTTTTTTTAAAAAAGGGATTTTGGAGTGTCTTCCCTATTCATGGTTCCAATAATTGAAATTTAAATGAAACAAGTCAGTTTGGAGAGCTAATGGGTAATAGTAGCTAAATTTTTAGCATCTGAGTGATGATGACAAGCAGGAAGTCGACAGAAAGACCTCAAAGATGACACTGGTTTGTGAGCAGTTTGTCAGCCAAGACAATACAAATACTTTACAAACAAGTGATGTTTTGTTTCATTTCTTCTTATTGGAACAGTTGGTTTAATCAGTCTTTGGGAGAACTTACTGCCAGACATCGGTGACCTCTGTGGGAGCCACTTCCTTGTTCTCCATCTGAACCATGGCGAAGCCGCCCACGGCGTACAGCAGGCCGCCGGTACTCACCAGGTTGATGGAGCTCCTCTCCTGGGGGAAATCTGTGAAGGGTTCCCACCTGCGGATACGCGGCAAACCAGCGTAGGCTCAGGACCGTCACACTGCTGGCGAACACCTGTTTCTGCACTGTTCAATGGACGTGGTTTGGTGTCGAAAACACTGGCAAACCTTATAACTATATTCTTTTGCATGCCCAGGTATGCAACCAGATTGTGCTATTTTGTAATTGGACAAACAATAATAACAAAAAACAGCTAAAAAACTAAAGTAAAATCTAAAATTTTTATGTACATCCTAGCGTTATCAATTCAACAAAACTAGCCACAACCGAAAACTAAAATAAACCTTCTCTTTAAAAGATCATTTTGTTTAACCGTGTGCTGACAGTTCAGGCAAATAAATATTATGCATTTAAAAGTTTAAAATATCAATTATGTTGAGGGGAATTGCTTTAATCTCGATGATTATAGCTGGCAAAAAACAAGTAATTGAGGTATGTTCGCAGAATATGCAGCTGTGTGGAATGATAAAGCATGTCCACCTTTATTAGGTGGTAGAAAATTATGCTGCCAGTGATGTAAAAACCAAACAAAGAAGTCACGGACATTTTACGAGTTGAACGTACTTGTTTGTTGTGAAATCGTAGGCCTCGCATGAGGCGGTGAGGCCCTCCTCGTTCACTCCGCCAGCCACCACGATCTTCCCCTTGTGGATGACGGCTCCGAACATGGCTCTGGGTGTCTTCATGGCGGCCATCTCCCTCCACTCAGACTGCTTGTGGTTGTACACAAACACTTTGTTGAGCGCTTTGCTGCGGGGGGGGGAGGGCAGGCAGGGTCACAAGCAGTGATGAATGTGTCGAAAGGCATCAAAGATCAGCTAGAAATGTTTTTTCACATCAAATATGAGAAACTTGTCCTTTTTTTCCCCTTCAACAAGGCACAGACAAGCAAAGAAAACTTCTGGAAGAAAGAAAAATTATAAAATGGAAGCCTAACAATAAGATAAAGACATAATCAGTGTGATTTTGAATGTGAATTACTTAAAAAAAAGAAAGAAAAAGACTTAAAATATTCATTTGAATGCAACAGGAAAACAATGTCAACCGTTAACATTTTGGCACATTACACCCACCAACTTGGACGCATCTTTAGTTTTTATGAGGCAGACTGACAAAATATCACCTAATTGTGAATCGGAATGTATCGTTTTTATATATCAAATTAAAATTCTGCATGTTCTGCCATAAATCAAATCCAATGTATGCAAATTTGGCAAACATGCAGCATGCTACAAGAATAAACACACTGTATTTATTAATAGAGGAGAGGGGAGAATAATCCAATATTTTTAGTCAAAAATTTCTTTTGTTAAATTAACTTAAAATGTGTATTAAATTGGTTATACGTTTGATTCTTTTGTCCAACAGCTCAGTTTTCTTATTCACCACATGGTTACTGGCAGCTGAAATCGCTGGACTATTATTAGTTGCAGCATTTAATTGAAGTAAGTTCATTAGCCGCAGCGTCATCATTCCTGGAAAACAGAGTGATTTGTGCGCCAGTTCTGTGGAAGTAAACAGTATTTATGTGATACCTGTAAAAAAAAAAAAAAAGAGTCGCAGGTTAGGATTTTCCCGTTATTGTTGCGTGTTAGAAAACCTGTGGCTCTGTGATTGTTGTCTGAGATGTGTATCCTGCAGTTTTCCCGGCTCGCAGCATGCTGGATCAGGAACAGCAGCCGTTCGTGGCGGTAGCGCGGATACACACACACTCACTTGTCATCCGTTTTTCCTCCGATGCAGTAGATCAGCCCTTTGTGTGACACGACGGCGTGGCCGTGAATCTTCAGGGGGAGCTTTTTCGTTTCAGTCCATTTCATCTTCCTAAAGAACGCCACATGTGTGGAAACATTAAAATACGGTGCCATATTCGGGTATATTTCTGTCCACGTTTAAACGACACTTTGGCTAAAACATTGAATCCTGAGTTTTGTTTTTACACAATCATTTACACATCATAAATTTGCATGTACCGATCACGGCGAAGCTCATTAGAGAACCTGAGACTAAATAAAACCATATTTATACATATGGATTTATATACACTTTTTTTTTCAGTACTAAGAGAGCTGTTTATTTTTCTGAAGTTAATTATCACCTGAAAAAGTGTGCCTGAAGTGAGAGACAACATGCGGGGACAAATGTGAAGGCGGCGTAGCATGAAAAGAAAGAAATTAATACCACTGACTCAACATCGTAGCACATCACAGTGTCCAGCGACTCGTTGGTCTGCAGGTCCTTTCCAGCCACAGCGAACAGCAGGTTCTGGCTCTCACCGATGTTGAAAAGGCATCGTGGAGAAGGCATGGGTGGCATGGCAACCCACTCAGATGTGAGGGGATCAAACTGAGGTGCGAATAAATGACACAATAAAAGACAAGAACCCTTTTACGTATTGGTTACTGTGACAAAATAAGCATAAAAGGCCCCGTAGGCACCGTTCATTTCACTGGAAACCGTCTGTTTACTGAAAATCTATTTGTTTTTTATGTTCTTTAAATCAACTAAGAAGCCAAAAGGGACTAAGTTAGATTAACAACAACACTTTCTAAGAAGACTGTCATGTAAGCTACCAACATTGATTACAATTGGAAATAAAATGCTCTTGTTAAAAGCTTAAAATCAGAAAGTAGCTACAATAGTCTTTTAATTTAAAAGCTGATTGTCAGATTCATGTAACAGATTTAACCCAAGGTATACTTGTCCTTAAAATGTATTAAAATTGAATACATTGAGCATGTCTTCAAGAAAGCGGTCATTCTTGAGGACATGCCAAGGTATCTTCTGGGTCTGTGCCTGCAGTGCTTCTCAAGCTATGCTAGACTTACTGTTTCATGAGTCTAGCAGTTAACAGAATAGTTGTGGTAATAATCTTTGAAAAAAGAAATCTTCCCAAGGAAGCCACTGCAAGAGTGTTTCCGAGATGGACATTGTGTGAATTTACCCAACTGAAGGCTAAATGGCCCAGCAACTTATTTGGGTATTTCAGGAGATGCTCACCAAGTAGAAGTAGCACTGCAAAGGCACGTCCTTGTTATCCTCATCCACAAACAGTCCTCCAATGATGAAGAGCTGGTTCTGTTGCGTCACCAAGCTCACGTGGTTACGGGGGACCTGCTCTGACATAGCAGCGAGGAAGCATTCGTTCTCGTTGACGTCGTACGCCACCGCTGCTGTGTCATTGATCATCAAGACGAAGTCGCGAGCAAACATGCCATGTCTGCGGTCGTTATTGAGGAAACCGGGGAATGGGCTGTCTTCGTCCTCTCCTTCCTTGCCTGCTCCCTCCTCACCCTCTTTCTTCACAGGTTTGTCGGGGAGTTTCCCCATGAAGGCGTCCTTGATGACCTGGATCATCTTCTGGAGATCCGGGTCAGCTTTAATGATCTCGTCATTCTCCACTTTTTCTTTGAAGTACTTCTCCGGCATCAGTCGGAAGCGGATGCAGTTGAAGGCGTCCTTCAGGACCTTAACACGTTTCTCCTTATCGTGGCGGGCCCAGGCCATGACCGCCTCAAACACCAGCTCCTCTTTCTCAACGTTCAGCGAGTCCCCGCCAATGACGGCGAACAGTTCATGGGCCGCAAGCTTGAGGAATTCCTCGTCCTTGTGGAGAAGCTCAAAGCGATCTGCAATGAAATTTCGTGCTGCAACGGCAAGTCTGGGACAGCTGAGGACCAGGCCCATCCTGAAGATGGCCATGCAGTTACCCAGCGAGAGTTTCTTCTGAAGATAATTGACGCAGACTGTGAAGACAGAAGGGATTTGGAATCTGTTTGCCACAGCGATGATATCCTGCACATTGTCATCAGTGAGATCAATCTCAGCTGAGTAGAGGTATTGGATGATCATGTCCAGGACAGAGGGGTTGATGTCATCTAGGACTACCTCTTTGGTGTTTTCCACCTCCTTTCCATCTTCAGTGAAGAAGATATCCCTGAAGTAAGGGCTGCATGCGGCCATGATTAGCCGATGGCATGGGAAACTACGGTCGCCGACTTTCAGGGTACAGTCCACAAACTTGTTCTCATTGAGAAGCTCTTTCAGCCCGTCTTGGAGCAGAGTGCTCTGAAACAGCCGCAGCTCCTCCTTGATGGCATCGGGGTCCATAGCTTGGTCAAAGAGGGGTAAGGGCACCAAAACAAAAGTGTCTACGGACAACGGAAGGAGATGGTCGCCAAAGGTCCTTTTGGCAGTAAGTCCTGGCTAGAAAAGGCTGAGCAGAGAAAGGGTTCCTGGTGTGAAGACCGAGCAATTCAATCCACCCCCATTCTAAAAATAGCTCCCCCTAGCCCCAGCATGCTTCAGTGGAATCTCAATGGGGCAAATCAGAGAACAGCCCCAGTGCTGGACTCCAGCACCTGCTGCTGCAGACTGAAAGTAGCAACTGCTGGGATATTCGGCTGGAGACACGCCACCATGATTCAGCTCCAGAGTGTCATGTGGTTCATTTACAGCAAAGACAATGCTGTCAAAGCCCCCTAAATAGCTCCCGTATAGTTAAAGTTACACAAGAGTGAGAGGATATTCAGAGCACTGGCTGTCATACTCAAAAATATGTGCTGTTCTTTAGACATCAATTAATTTTCCAGTCCGCATGGAGTTAAAAATCACCTATGAAGTGACCCAAGACACCTCAAGAGTAGATATTTCACTTCAAGAGGAATACGTAATCACAGCACTAATCTATTTCAGATAAAATCTGTCTCTTACAGTCATCCACTGCTTCCCAATTTGACAAATTACAGTAAATGGTTTGACTGTTGACCTTTTTAACTGTAATACAGTGCTTAACATTTCACATGATCTAATTAGCTCCAATCCTGCCATAAGTTGCATTACACGTTCACATTCACAATCCGGGAAAAAATATTACTTCATGAAAGGTTTTGTTTATCATAACGCGTGATTTCCTCATTATCTGCATGTTGCATACGCTTTGTTTTCTTGTTGCCCATCTTAGCGTTAATTAGCAGACACTGGAGAGACACGCTGAGCTATAATTGGACCTGAAAAGTTTCTAGTGTGGAAGTTGTGAGAAAAAACAGATAAATCGCACAAACAAGAGGCAATTTCCACAAATCAGCAAGATGAGGTTTTTTTTATTTCCTGTGCGCATGTCTCAAAACAATGCAGTCGGAGATTTTCATTTTAGATTAAGAAACATGTTTCCTTTCGTTGCGGACATAAATGACGTCTGGTTGCTTGCAGCCACATCTTCCCTGTGAAATGGTAATAGATGCCAGAAATAAAAGTGTCTGGATCGATAGCCGCCTATTTGATTCGGTCTTATTTCCGCAGCCTGATGATGAAGTTTGAGGAGGCCGTAGAGTTGGGCAACATTTCTCTGGCGGACTGCACTAAAGATAGATCAGACTGCGCCACATGTCGAGGAGTCGCTAAAATGTAATTCAAGCAGAAGGAGTACGTGAGCGAGCTCTGCTGCTTCCTTAAAGCTACAATGATATTTAGGAAAAATGTGATTGTGTTGCAGTTGCACTGATTTCCATATGTTTAACAGGGATTTTGTATGACAGAAAGTTAACTTGTAAGGTGGAAGGAATTCAATAGCTCTCACTTTGTTGGCTCTAGCTCAGTCAGATTAAACGTAGATTTTTAATTGAATTTCAATCCGGACTTTGACAAGGCCATTGTAGCATATGCATGTGCTTCTATCTAAATTATTTCATTGCATATTGAAATGAAGAAACTAAATTAATTATTAATTATTTTAAATTTAAAGGCTATTGTTGCAGGAAGATTGGATGCTATATTAATATGAATTTTAATCACAAAATGTACTCCGCCACCTGAAATATTAATCATTAACGAGCATTTCACATATTTTAATTAATATCTGGTTTATTTCAATGGTCGATACTTTTAACCAAGCATTAAACAGTACAGTAAAGTACGCATTTCTGCGGTCAGTACATCTGGGTATCATAAAAACAAACACCCTCCAGCTGAACTTGAAGGTTCAAATTCAGAGGCATGAACACGAGTTGCCCAGTAGAGGGCGATATGTGCGCCACTTTAACAGTTTACCTGAAATGGTAGAAAGGATAGAGGAAAATAAGTCACATTTTATATTATCAAAAAAAAATTGTACACAATTATTTCACAAAGAGAAAGTTTTTAATAATGTTTGCACATCAAAGTCGTCTTTCATGTTCTTTTAGTTTGCGTTTTCCATGAGTTTTAAAAGATTTTGCCTTAGACTCTCGTCTTTTTTTTTTTTTTTTTTACGTTAAAGTTATGAACCAGATGAATGTAAAATATTTGACTCTAATTCGAGTCCTGAAGGCGGAGCTACATCCAACCGGTCGCTTCGTACAGCTGAATGGTTGCCATGGGAGATTAAAGGCTTTCTCAAACGCGTATGAAATAATCAAAGCATCACTCCAGCTGTGTTTTTGATAAGGGAATAACAACCTAACATTGTGTAAAGCTACAAAAAGTTGATTTTACATAATACTGCCCCTTTAATACACGTCTTAATTTAGTTGTGTGGACAAAACAAATGGACCAAATGTGAACTGAGGTGTCTTTTTTCTAGATCTTAGTGTTACATGAATCAGCATAATGTGGCTTACAAGACTGAGATTGCAATCTCACCTACTATTGATCAGGCTTAACATCCTGAAAGCAAATAATAAAAAATTAACAAATGAAGGAAGATTCAAGACTTTTAAAATACTGCTGACATAAGTTATAAAAGTGAACCTCTGTTACTGGCTCTGACTGTTGGAACCTAAATAAATGCACTTACAGATAGTTTGGCTTTACACCATATTGATTCACTGATGCCGCTTGTTAAGTTGCAGAGTAACGATTGTCCACGTTGTGCAAACAGTTTGGTTTTTTTTCCACCATCTTCACAGCTCTCATTGAGTATGAGGGGGAAAAAACGTAATGAAGTGGAGGTGAAAGCTCATTGGTATACCTGAGTAGAAATGATCACCAAAAAATACCAAAACATGAAAACGTCTAACTCTTTTTTACAAAATCATTTTTGTGTAAAGTCACAAAATAAAAAAATAAAATAAAAATAAACTGGTGTGAGTGGGTTTTGCCTGAGAAATTTTGACCCGACTTTCTGCAATCTGGTGGAAAATTGAAGAAGAAGAAGAAACAGAAGATGCCTTCACTCAGCCTCCTGCAGAAAACACGACAACCAGGAAGGTTAACAGCTCAAAACTTAAAATCTGTGGTAACATTTTAACAAAACAAGAATGTCAAAGTAGGAGCACCTGCGACTCTGGACACCACACATGTTCTCTTGCACTCCTCCTCGGTGTCGAAGCGGTTCCTGTTGCCGCCGCAGCCTCCGTACCAGAACTGGGCGCAAGCGTTGGCCTGCTTGTCGTAGTACCACCGGATGTTATATTCTCGACATGATCCTTGGTCCAGAACCAGCCTGCAGCGAGGGTCCAGGGGCACGGTCTCTGCGGGAAAACGTCACGCGATAAGAGGTAAAATACACACGCGGAAAAAAAAGAAGAAAAAAAGAAATGGCTGTGGTAGAAATCCACCCCCAGAGTGACCATATCCGCTCCGGTTCTTCAGGAAGGAGCTGCTTCCACAATAATAGCCGCAGTACTTCAAAAATAATTGGCCTCGCTGTTCCTCGCTTCGCTGCACGCGCAGCATGGAGGATACATCAAGCGAAGCTGTGTCCTTTCTGCCACCGGCTCACTAAAACACACCGGCCCGCTGCTTTACAGGAGATTCTAATCGTGTCGCCTCACCGCAGGGGTTCCAGCGTCCCCCTGTAATGATTCTGACTAACTGTCAGAGGTGGAGAGTTTTAGTGTTGTGTTATTAGCAGTTGTTGCTGCTTCGCTTTGCATGCGATTATCGCAGCTGTGCCTGCTTGGTGGGAATTCTCCGTTTCACTTCATGTCTGAATAGTAAAGAATGAAAAATTGGTGCATTTAAAACTGTAAAAAAAAAAAGTAAAACTTTCTTGTGTCTATTGTGCAGAAGAGAATTAAAAACTCTTTTTCTTAGTACAATGTCAGAATTCTGTAGACAGAAAAAAGGAGTAAATATCTGCAACCAATCTCAGAAATTTTGAGATTAATCTGAGAAATTTTCTAGAATAAAAACAAGAAACTTTCTCAGATTGAAAAAATCTAAAATTTGTGAGAATTAACTAAACTTTTGAGATGGATATTCTACAAAACGATATAGAAGTTTCTAACTTTGAACTTTTGGAAATTTTCCGAGTTCAGAATTTTCCTGGGTTTTTTTCCGGGAAAATTTCTGAGATTTGTCGAAAAGGTTTTTCGGTGGAAATGTGCTCCTTAATACGGTGCTGTGGAATTCTGAGTTTGAAGTCAGATTTCTGAGAGGAAATTCAACATTCTGAGATTCAGGGAGTTTGTACCTTTGGGCAGAGCTGGCCTTGGCGGGGGAACGTACGCTACAGAACCACCTGAGGATGACGTGTTTGTAGAAGATGAGGAAGATGAGCCCCCTCTGGCAGGAGGCGGAGTTTTGTAGTCGGAGGTGCCGCGGTTAAACGTGTCCCCGCGTTCACTTCCTGAGGCGGTTAGCACTGCAGTCACGCGATGCCCTCCTCCACCCTGAGGGAAGAAAAACAAAAATCAAAGATCAATGAGAGTTTAAAGAGATTTAATGATATCCATGTTTGTTTGTTGCAGAGTTCTGTACATGAACAGTGCTGGATCCTTTACTGCCATGGCTGTGGGTGCCAACACCAGCCTGCTGGCCGCCGAGATGGTCCTGCTGAGTTATGGGCTTGTGACCATAGCCACCGGTGGCGTAGCTCCCAGTGATCCGGTTGCCGTTGTAGCCGTTGTTTCCGTTCGTTATCCGGTTGTATATCAGGGCTCCGTTTTCGTCCTCACAGAACTGACTGACCAGCTTGGACTCGAGAGCTGCAGAAGCAAAAACACACAGAGGAGGATGATGAAGGAGCGCTTCCAGGTCTGTCGGATGAGTTTCAGGGAATTCATGTCGTCACTGCAGAATATTATACAAGCATGGCTTTTTGAGTTGGGAAAAGTTCTGTTTGGGTTTCAGATTCTTGGAATACACCACCATTAAACATAAGAAATGTTACAAAATATTTCTTATAAAATCACTCAAGCCAGTGGAGTCCAAGTTTTTTTCCATTCTGAGAAAAAAAAATGTTAATTTGAGAACACTGAAAGGCCACACCTTTCTAAAATTAAAACTGAAAGGATTCATTTTGTATCATTTTCATCACTTCAACAAATCACTAAATAGACAATATTTTAATAAAACAAAAATCGTAGAAAAGGAATCTGTAAATAACTGTCAATATACAATATAAGCAGCGTCTTGCATCATTGCCGTTTCAAATGATACGTAAATATTTTTTACGGCTTCTTTTTATGCTTTATTATCCTGATATTTTAAATCCCTTAGCATTAGTCTGCTAAGGGATTACAAAGGAAAATTAGCCTCTCCTTGGCTAAATCTGGCATATTTACGTGACGTATTCATGTTGATTAATATGGCATGTTATGTGAATTCATAAATTCACATACCCTGGGGTAAATAAAAAAATGAGCTGAACATTTTTATTAATTTCACACTCAAACATTAGCTGATTAACAGTATTTTGTATCAAAATATTTCAATTTCAAAGCCACAATGATGTCCGTCGTGCCAAAACGACTCAAATTATTTGCTTCTGCAGGAAAATCAAGGCACACAGCTCCGCCCCTCTCCCACTTGTTACCAGAACACCAGCCAGCTGGCTGGGATGAAGTTACTGAGCTATCAAAGAGTAGCACCGTAAATATAACGTAGCCTAAAGCACTTGGAGGATGACCATCTGGGGAGGAGGATGGTTTGCGTTTGTGTTAGCCTTAGCATAAAACATTGCTCTCTGGCTACATTCACGTTTCCACAAACACAGCCTCCATCGTTCACCGCTGCCAACGGTGGACAGCAGAGCCAAGCAAAGGCCTGATCCCTTCACTGAGCCACAACAGGACAGTTTATCCAGCAAATCATGTAGGATGACTTCTATTGCTACTGTTTTGACACTCAAGTCAGAATAAAGTAAAGTAATGTGAAGTAATTTTTTTTTTAAACGGTTAAATAACCAAGATTTTCAAGAAATCCTGCAAAGAATTCACTTTTCCTTTTTTTTTGTAACACATTTAGCTTTAGGATCCCCTATATTACTGAATTCTAACCTTTATCAAAATCCTATAAAATAACAAAACAGAGAATCTATCAGTTATCGTAGTTGACATTTTATTTGCATTTCTCTCGCTTTGTTTTTGAAAGTAAGCATGTCAGTGTTAGCAGAGAATGGGGAGAAATTCCAGGGTTTCTAGATAGAATTGCTTGCATTCGTTGGTTTGATCACCAAGCACAACAGTTGAATGTATCAAGAAAAGCTAATTTAGGGGAAGCTAAGAGTGCTAAATGTTTTCAAAGTTATCAAAAGAGTTGAAAGATTAGCTTCACTACTAGCGCTTTAGCGGGATGTCATTCTCAATTGAGTAAAATTATGCAGAGAAGGAAAAAGGATACAAAGCTTTCAGTAATTGTTACCAAAATTCTGAAAGCGCATCAGGGATTCATACTCGGGCCCCCTTTATTTTAGTACCCCATACAAATGCATACATTTTGCTGCCAATCATCAGAAAACATGCAATAAGTAAACACCAGTAGTTTAGGCCTCATTTTTAACCATATTTTCATTTCATCATCCACATGTCTTCTTTAGAGCTTGCCATGAACTCTAAGGTTCTGACACCAAATGCTTTGTTTAGGTGACTTCCACCTCTGAGAAAGTCACTAAACAGAAACCAAATTAAAATTTATGGGGTAATGCGCTGTGCGCTAAGATAGAGTGTGACATAGAGATGAGATACAAAAGGAAGACAGCTGCAGAAGCAGCAGGGGCAGGAGTGCAGTGAGAGCAGAGGCACTGCATGGTGGGCCGTCACTTTGGAGAAATCTGATGCTCAGTAGAGCCTGATAATCACAAATGTGAATGTAGTTAAAACACTAAATGGTTTTGAAAGGCCTGGAAGAGGATTGTGATAGTTTGAGTATCACGCTAGGTAAAAAAGAAAAACAAAACAGAAAAGTAGCAAAGACGTCTGAAGGAGTTCCTCCACTCAGGTGGAAAATCTGACTGACGAGAGTAAAAGTGAGATTTTATTACGATACGATTATGTCTTTGCGTACAAGTTTATTCTGGTTTTTAGTTGTTTTTTTTCTCCATTGCAATATTTAAATATTTGTTTGTAAAAAAAAAAAAAAAAACAACCAAAAAACAAAAAAGGTAAATCACCTGGCAAAGTGTTGAAGTCATCGATCAGGAACATGTGCTCGCTGTCTGGGTCCGACGCGATCAGGTTGAGCTCTCTCAGGAAGTCGGTCTGCGTTGGATCGGACGTGTTCAGAATCCCCAGGGCAAACATCTCGATGTTGGCAGCGTGGGCTTCCCGCACGGCTATATCCAGCTTGACCGGCTCCCGTTTGTCCGTCTGCCCGTCTGTAATCACAATGGCCACCTTGCTGACGCCGAGGCGGGAGCTATAGAAGGCTTCCTGTGTGGCTTTCCGGATGGCTGTCCCAGTATAGGTGCCCTCGCCCATGTACGGGATGTTCCTGATGGCCTCCTTGATGTCCTCTTTGGTGGTGTAGCGGGCCAAGTTGAACACCAATTTCACCTCCAAGCTGTACAATATCAAACCGATCCTTGTGGCGTTGCGGCCTACCGTGACCCGATCCACCAGAGTGGTCACAAAACGCTTTATGATCTCAAAGTTCTCGGGCCCCACGCTCTCTGAGCTGTCAATGACAAACACCAACTCCATGGGCCTCTCCTTACACTTGATCCCACATCCTAGAATGAGATCATGGCTGAAATGTCACTTTTGACAAGGATTAGTAGGTGAAATCTGATCTAACCATCTGCAGATAAGGCAAGACAGAAGCGAAACCCTCTCCAGTTACATTTTCGCTGCTAATGCAATACGTACAAGCCAAAGATCAGAAGATACTTACCACAGATCTCTTTGATCATTCGAATGATGTCCTCTCTCTGAAATTCATACATTGTCAGAACATGAGCTCATAAGTGGCCATGGTAAATAACTGATGAGAAATAATAGTCAGGAGTGGGACTCACCGTGAGGCCTGCTTCCCCTTTTATGCCCGGAAGACCCTAAGATAAGGATGCAATGAGCTCAATCAGGAAGAAAACTGTCAAATGTAATCTTAAATAGGAGGAAGCCTTGGATCTACATCACAACCAGAACACAATCAAGTGCTCAAATAAATTTTTTCAGGCTCGATGTAATTGCAGAAAATCAAACCATCACTCACAGGTTGCCCCGGGATTCCCGAGTCTCCCATTTCTCCCTTGAATCCTTTAAGCCCCCTCTCTCCTGACGAGCCCCGGTCACCCTGACGCATAAATCAAAACAACAATGGCAATGAGCCTTTACAGGTGACCCCAGATCATCACGTGGAAGTTTTAGGACAACATGTTGACTGACTTTGGCTCCTGGGAAGCCCTCTCCAGGTACACCTCTGGGTCCGGTCACGCCCTGGGCCCCCTGTTCGCCCTGAAGCACAAACAATGTTCAAATAGTAAGTCACAAGGTCATATTTAACCCCTAAATGAAATGCATAAAAATATCCCTTAAGAGTCAATTCATAAAGGCAGGCTACCTTGGGGCCTTGAAGTCCTAGTCCCTGTGGCCCTGTTGGGCCAGGTGGACCTGGTCGCCCGGGATTACCCTGCAAAAACATCACATTCTGCCACTACTACCGAACCATATCACTCAAATATGCACATTTACAGTCTGGGAATATATAACTTTATTGGTACAGAAACACTTTACAAAGATGATAATTTAAATAAAATAAATGTTTTAGTTGATTTCCCGTTCTTAATCCCAAAATCGCCTTTAGAAAACAAAGAGTGTCGCTGGTTGGCCTTGTGTGAAAAGGAAATTGCCAAACTATAATAACTGGTTGTGACATCCCAGGTGGCAAAACAATAGCAAGCAATGAGTCTTCTATGTCAATGTAGAGATGTTTTGGTCATTGCATAATCCAAGATAAAAGCAATACCAATAAAATACCACCACCTTATTGAACTATTAGGTTCATGTCCTCTTTCTCAAATACTTTATCAGTGCTTTGGCACAGGAGACACAGCTTTCAAAGAAATCTACTTCCATCTCTTCAGTCCAGGTGAACTCCAAAGAAATTTCAGCAGTAAGATCTAAATCTTAGATAAAGCTATTAAAGTTAGCTTAAAATAAAAACCCATCTTTCCCAGCATGACTCGTGTCTAACATCATTTAGTCAGCATGAACCACGCCTGACATCTGTCGTAGTAATGTGCTTCCACACTCTGTTCTGCCTTTGGTAACTTTACCCAAGTCCCTAATTAAATCTTGTCCACTGCAAATGAGTGTGGAAGCGCTCCAGCCTGCAGAGGCACCGGTCTGAAGCCCACGGGGGACAAGGGTGGGATCTGTGAGGACAGACGGGGTGTTGTTCAATCAATGCCTGTTAGGACAAGTGTTCCTCATCATACAAGTGTCAGTGGAGATTCACACCCTGCTCTCATGATAGTGCTGTCGGGGTGATTATATAAAATACGCTGAACAAATGAAGAGGTGGACAATATGTTTGCATGTGTGATGAAGCGGCATTGAACCTTAATGAATACGATGCACAAAGTGAATTAGATGGGGTTTTTTGATAAGTTTCACATTTGTCCAATTTGAAGGTTTCATAACCTAAACACAGGATGATTGTGGGGAAAGAAGGAAATGTTTGGAGGTTTTCCACATGTTAAAATCCGGAAAGTGTGGCACATCTCTCCTGGTTTATGGGACCACGTTTTGCTGGACTTACAGTTTACATTTCAATGACATTGTCTGTAAACTGCAGAGGTGGGCACTTTTACCTAAAAAGTTACCATTAACACCAACATGATATTGAGCATAAGCTAATGCCAACGCGACAACGTCAATTCAAAACGTATCAGCTCCTGAAAGAGCACAACCCTCAAGCATTTACATGTGTTTATATCTTGTTCTCTGCTTTCTGCATTTTATTTTGTTCCTTATTTTCTTACTTGTTTGACACAAAGAGAAAAAATAGAGGTGCCAAATAAAAACTTCTCACCTAGCTTTTCAAATTTGTATTTGAAATTTAAATCTCTCTATAACTTAACTTCACATTTAAGTTATTTTTTGTTGCCCAATCAGATATTTTGAGGTTTATGGTTGAAATTGGAAGAATGTCAAATCCTAAAATCCTGCTTTCAAGTCCTGGTTGCGGGTTTTCAGTTCAAACTTTGTCATTTTGAAGGTTAGGAGAAAGTTAAGAATGGAAATCCAACACTTGAATGAAAACAAAGATATCAAAATGGCTGTGAATCTACCGGAGGTCCCTGGACGCCTTCCCCTGGCGGTCCGGGCAAACCTGGCAGCCCTCGGAATCCAATGTCCCCCTGAAAAAGTCGTGAAACGTGCAAGATGCTCAGCAGGAATACTGAAACTGCTGACCCAAGTACAGAGCAAAAACATTTAATAGAAATTTTATTTATATTCACTAAAAACTTGAGACGCAATACGACATTGGCTGGCCACCATACTTGCCCTGGACAGAAACTCAAAAGTCCAATGTTATCTTGATCAGAGAATTTTTAAAATAGATGGTAGCATTCAGGCGAGTGCTGGTCTTTTTGGTCCTTCCTCATTTTCTGTTTCAGTCGTTTCATTCACAACTTTGAGTACAAAGTTGCCATTGGATGTTTGTTAGATTTGTAAAGAAATTAATTAATTTGGAGACAAACTTAGTAGGAAACTGGAGGACCAAACATTTAGATGTTTGGAAACCAGACAGTTCTTAAACCAGAGCCTGGAAAGTGGCCACAATAAAGATTTCTGGAGGAACCCTTAATTTTAATGGCTCCAAAAGTTTACTCTCTCCCTTAAATGGGAATTCTTTGGGGTCTAGAGCTCATAATGGGAGGTTGTTGGTTTCCCTCTGATTCTGACATATTCTCACCTTTGGTCCCGGGATGCCCACGCCCTCTGGCCCGGGTTCTCCAGGAAGCCCCGGCAGACCAGGAGGACCCTAAACAACCAATCCACAGAATGTTATCCAGCTTTTCTATCCCATACTCATTTTGTTTACACTTCTAACAATAATGACGAATCGAGATTTCTACAAAACAGTCAGTAAAATATGATATCTCAACAACTAAACATGTATGTGGGGGGATTTGTTTTTCTAGATGAGGATTTGCCTGACTATAAATCTCGCCTCTTTGTCTCTGTTCTGAGTGTTTGCTGCAGGTTGTACGGAACATCTTCTGAAACATTTGGGTAATAAATGTCTAACAGACTGATAAAAGTGGGAAACATGAGAGAGGCCATAACATAAATCTGGGCTTAATGTGTGATGAATGGTTTGATTTGGTTTGTTCACCATGGGGCCGGGATAGCCGTCTCCTTTGGGGCCAAATGGACCTGCGGGGCCCGGGTCACCTCGATCGCCCTAAAACAGAACAAGAAGGATGATATTGAATCCAACAGTTTACAACAAAATGTTTCACTTCTTCCAGTTCGAGGTAGCTCATAATTGATTTTTAAAATAAATGCTGTTGAGTCATGACATATTTGTTTATCCAAGCCTACAGTTTTTTTTAAAAAATTATTTCCATTTTAGTTCAATTTTAAGCACCAAAAAGAGCAAATTTATTACCTTTGGGCCAGGCAGTCCAAAGCCAGTCTCGCCGATTGGACCAGGAGGTCCACCTGGTCCAGGATCACCCTATAACGTTTTAAGACATGAACTTTTCAGATTAAGTTGGCAAAGATACACACTACATTTACTTAACTGTTTTAACTAGGTCCTATTTTTCAATCTTTCATTATTGTGAAAGAATTGTTAAAATTGTTTATTTTCTGCATTTTTTTTGCCTTCAAGTACAGAAAAATTTGGAAAGTCAGATATGTGTGAAAGAAATGGAGTGGTGTTACAAAACTTTCATTTTCTGCCCACTTGCTTTTCAAACAAAAAGTTATGGAATATATACTGTGGTTTTTGAATTGTGAATATGTTTGAAATAACGGAGATAAGTCATGATGAAAAAGGAAGAATATAAATGTACCTACCAGCAATTAGTTCGATTGTTGCGAATAGAGTTATTACAGTTTTATATTAGAAGTTTCTGAAATGTTTAGTATGATGAGTAACCATGTCAACTAAATGCTTATTTCTATGTATGCAAAGCTTTGTTATTAAGCTCTACAAGTCCGAATATCCATCGGTGTTTTTAAGGGATGGAGTCTGGTGTCCACAGTCCTAAAGCTTCACTAGCTCCCCCTTCAGGTCATTTTGGCGTACTTAAAGTGAACTGGAAAGAAAACACATCATTCTAGGGTAAAAGTCTCAAAATACATCAAGCTAAACCCTTCTTGCTGTAGAACAAATTTGCTTCCGTTTGCAAAATGCCTAGATGACGATCATATGTCGAAAATACATTTTTATAAAGGACACCAAGTGCAGCATTAAGCATCCACACCCATACTTCAAATATCATTCTTCAAGTTATTTAATGTTTAATTCTGACATTTTGGTGTTTAGTTGGGTGTTACTAGCTTAGTAAGTTTGTTGATTAAAGTATTTTAAGTGGAAGGTTTAACTATGGTTGTAAATAAACAGAAGTCACTGACATTATTCTGTATATCTGTTAGAAAACTTCAGTGCTCTGTATTTAATATCTAAGCTTTACCAATCAGGAATTTATTTTCAGAGGACCTCTATTACAGCTTTTGCTAATGATGAACCTCACCCCAGTTTTCCTTCTTTCCCTATATTGTACACTATGGGAATTTGATTAGGAATAATATTTTCACCACTCCTACCAAGACATATTTGCGAACAAGTGATAATTGCTTTCACTGAAAACGAACTGGCATATAATCATCACCAAAGTACAAATTGGAAAAAATATGCAGGAATTGCATGCTTGCATTTTCAGAACTGAAAGCGCATACCTTGGGTCCAGTGATGAAACGTCCCGGTGGTCCAGAGGAACCGGGCCGACCCTGTGACCCTGGTTCTCCCTGAGTAGAGATTCAACCGCATCATTAATTCTCAAACATTAATTAGCATATTGGTCTTTATCATGTCAGACGATTTTAATAACGGCTCAAAGGTTTCCTACCTTTGGTCCAGAGGGTCCAGCAATGCCAGGCGGACCTGTCAACCCTCTTATTCCTCTTTGGCCTTGGTCACCCTGAGCAAAAATGTCAGGAATATGGTTGCTCATGTGATAATTATAACCCTATACTCATAATTGACCTAGGAGTGAGGGGCTGCGCACCAAGTGTGTCTGTTGGCCAAATTATGATCCCTGCACAAATACCTCCAATTCTTTTAACTTTTAACATTTTTTAACACAAAACCTTCACTACCACTTGCGTACTTTATGCAGGAGACTTCTTTCTTTTAGAAAAAAGGGTCCAGAGTGGGAAAAAAAATAAGAAAGTGAATATGAAAATGCTAAAAGGTACACAATGAATAAAGGATAAAAATTATATTAAATTCTTTGAGATTGCAATAAAAAGCCAAAACATTCATGTCCAATATGTTGCTAGGGACCATGTCCGTTGTGGCATAAGCAAACAATCCTCCACAACAAGCACATCAAGAAATCACATCATATTGAAAAATATAAGGAAGGAAACCTGAAACTGTTTACCTTTTCTCCCTGAGTGCCAATCCCAGGCGCGCCTTCTGGACCTCTAAAACCAACGGCTCCTGGTTCACCCTGAAGCCAAAACACGCCGACATTCAACAAACTTGTCGTTCACTTCTTACAGAGGTCGAGAGGAAATCCATCCAGCTACCTTTTGTCCTGGCGCTCCGTCCTCTCCAGGAAGTCCAGGCAAACCCGACAGTCCTGGTGATCCTGGTTCACCCTACAGAAAGGTTTCTGGGTCTTTTCAAGTGTTTGGACGACTGCAGACGTTAACGCCACTTTAAACTTAGGCCACATTCACACCAGACAATGACCAAACTATTAAATGAAATACCAGAGAGAACAAGGATGGTGTTTGGAGGTCTTTGAAGACACAGATACAGAAAACAAGAGCACTCTCCTGTATTTTGTAAGGCTGCTAAGAGGCAGATGAAATGCTGGTGTTTTCGTCTTCACGGTAAGGCTGAAACTGATGGTTGGGGAGTTGAAACCTCCCATGTTTCAATTCAGCAGACTGGTAGGAAATATCCAGATCACTTTCTGCTACCTTTGTTGGTAGCACTGTAGTAGAATGGCCATAAAAGCAGCAAAAACACAACCCCCAAAACATACTATTCAGAGTGCCTTTACATCAAAATCAAGGTTCCATTTTAGATTCAGAGGAACGGTGGAGCAGATCCAAAAGAACAGAGTGGTCTTGATCCAGTGTGAATGAGACCTTACATCCTAGCACATTGATTTATGTTGATTTTTAATGAAAAAGAACAGCGACACACCTTGGCACCGGGCTCGCCAGCTCCTCTTTCTCCTGGGGCCCCCACTTCTCCTGGCAGCCCTTGGTCTCCCTGTGTGGGATAAAGTTCATTGTTTCAAATGCGTTTGCAATGCTAGAATGCTATTGCTTAATGCTGAAAACTGGTATCGTCATCCTCTGCGTTATTTACTAAAATGTACTCAATTAACTTAGATTTTAATAAGTAAATTTTCAGTTTGAGTCTTGTCCTTGTTTTAAATCAACTAATGCAGTGAAGGAAAACCAGCAACTCCACAGGTTCTTTATCTCTGTTACAAGCTTTGCTGGATTAAAACATATTTCGTGATGCAACAAGTAAATTCAATTTTGATCAAAATAATGTGTAGGGTTGGTGAGGACAAACCTTGGGTCCAGAAAAGCCCTCTCCCGGTGGGCCTCTTATTCCAGGTGGCCCCCTGGGGCCCTCTGTTCCCTGAAGGGAAGATAGAAAGAAATTAAAGACAAGGCAATATGAATTTATTTAAATTTAGGCAATGCATTTATTTCAATGATACATTAAAATTTTAATGCATATAAAATTGACATTTAATTTTAAATTCTAAAATTTAAATGATCAAGTTTCCCTGCAAAAAAACATCCAGGGTTCACAACCAAATAAAAGCTTGGATTTTGCTTATACAGCTAAATTCTAGGTGTTCTAAAACTAACCAGAGGGTTAGCTTCAAAGAGCCATGTCATGTTAAGATGTCACACAAAGATGCTCTTGTGTTTTATAAATTTACCATCGTCATATCATGGACTTTTGCTACTTGATGTTAGGGAATGTCATTCCCTGCTACTTGAACCCCCCACTTGATGACGTTTTGTTTGTTATGATGCACGTAAAGCACTTTGAAATGCCTTGCTGCTGAAATGTGATATACAAATAAAATTGATTGATTGTTTGATATATAGCACTTAGCTTAACCAACTTCATACCTTTTCTCCTTGGATGCCGAGACCTGGAAGGCCCAGGGGCCCTGGAAACCCTGGAGGGCCAAAATCCCCCTATAAGAAGGAAAGTTTTTAAAAAATGTATACCACATACATACTCAGTCAGGGAATCACCCTTCAGTTTCATCTACAACCTTTCATTATGTAGAACGTTTGAAAAGCACCCAACTTTATTTGTTCCATACAGATCTAGTTTGGATCTGTATGTATCCCCCTAACCCCCAATATCTTCATGCCATATAAATGCTAAAAAATATGTCTTGTGACTTATAAAAAATCAGTTTAATACTTTCAACCCATGTCTACATCTGGGAGTCGTAAGCTCTTCTGATACATGCGAGTAACTGCAACGCATTGCGACAAATGAACACCTTCCTTTTACACTGGTGTCTGAATGCGCTTAAGAGTGTTAATGCTCCCACATTCAACAGTCCAAACCATAAAACTGCAGTCCTCCTACACCATTCAAGCTGAAACCTCAATTCATAGCCTGTAGACTGTGACCTCCTATATAACGCCGTGTTCAGTGCATTTATCTGTAGCTCTGGCAACTTTTGGCCTCCTTCACAACAGGCCTTTAGCTTTCTCGCGTTCTCCGCTTTTGTGAAATCTTTTCAGCACGGCGCCTCATTTATGGCCTCTCTGTACTCTACCTTGTCTCCTTTGATTCCCAGGCCCGACTGTCCTCTGGGTCCCCGTGGTCCCTCTATGCCTCGCTCGCCCTGTGAAGGCGGACAGAGAAGTTATTGCGTTTTGACTTCTTGAGATATTAGATGTGTTCACAGGAATGGCAAAGCAAGACCACATGCCACATATCAGCAAAAGGGAGAGGAGGGAAAAAACTGATAGTTGCTTTCATAAAAGCTACATTCAGCCACATAAAAGCTTACCTTGAGTAACCTCTGTAATGTAATATTCACATAGAGCATATAGAACCACGTTTTATATGTGTACAGAGGGCAAGTAAAGAATTTATATTTCTGGCTAAAAGCTTTAGATTAAGTTTTCTGATTCCTGAAACAAAGAAGACCATAAATAAAAAAGAAACAGATATTCACAATTTCAATTTTCAGTCACTCAAAGCACCAAGCAATCAAGATGTAATACAGATGAAGTCAGCACCATCAGGTTCCCATCAGGTTCTGTGTATTAGTGATTTTAAAGTAGAAAACAAAAAAAAGACAATTCTTCTCAATTTACAAAGAGCCATAAGATTTTTAGAGGTGAACATTAATGTTTTTTTAAACTGTTTTTATAGATGCACATTATCTTAAAATGACAAATGATGTAAAATTGATATTTTTAGCTGTACGTCACGTTATGTTATTCCCTCCTCAGAATCATATCCAGAGTGTTGCCTTGATTCTTTCACACGTGTTCGGGAAATCCTGGCAAATACATAATACTGTCGCTTTGAATTGTTTAGCAGAAACAGAAGCAGGTCCCTGTCGCTGAAGCAGATTTACTGCACAGTTATTGAGGTAAACCGAGAACACAAAGGTCAAGCTCAGGAGGCTTTCCATAAATCACAGGGTGGTGGTCCAATTCCCTGCTTCCCCCAGGGTGCATACCAAGGTATTCCCCTGGAGGCACTGAAAATGTTTCTATTTGATATAAAACCATTAAATAACTGGGAAAAAAATTACAAGAAAAGGTCGAGCAAAAAAAAAAAATATTGACACAAGTTTGCTTCAACCAACAAGACTGTGAATGATTCAGCCACAAATGCGGCACAGAAAACAGTAATGGTTTCCATCAAACTACAGCTGTCCACCTGAAAGACAGAAATTAATTTACATTTAAAATTAATTACTTACTTTTAAAATTAATTAATTACTTTTAAAATCTACCTGGAGGAAATTTTACCAGCCTTCCAAGGATTTTTCAGAGTCGGGGAACAACAAAACGAAGCCACAACAAGACGTACAGTAATTAGCAAGGCCGCATTTGTATGTAGGCTTCCAGAAGTTTCAATTTATTGTCATGAATCCGCGATCGGAGATCACAGCAAAAGCGCTAATGATGTGTAAAAAAAAAAGAAGAAAAAAAAATGTATAAAGGGTTTTACTGCTGTGAATCTGGAGCTTGTCGGGGCAAGTGAAGAACGCTGCCGTAGAGCGAACGCCATCTGTGAGAATACAGCCAAGTGTGCTGTTGCAAAAAAAAAAAAAAAAAAAAAAAAAAAAAAAAAGAGAGCAAAGGAAAAAAGAAAGACAGAAAAGAAAAAAGAGTACCCCTGAGGGTGATCTAGCAGTGGGGAGAAACACCTTCTCCAGGTTTTATGGTGGAAACTGTTACTTTTTAGAGCAACGGCGCCAGGTGATGAATTAGATGACAGTTCGGTGTGAGGGTAAAGTAAGAATTTCACCCGAAGCCTACCTCGTGTTTCAGAGTTGCTTGGTAAATATTGCAGGAGAACAAAACAAGAAAAGAAAAAAAAAAGCAATTACGCGTGTCATGGCTGGAAGACGTTTTGGCAGATTACTTGCACTTCATTTAACGTCTGCTTCTGTCACAACGAAGAGCCTCGATGTGATTTAATATTGTTTTACATCAATCATTTCTGCAAAATTATTAGTGAACCAAGTGCTGAGCTGGTTACTGTGAGCTACTTTGGGGAAGGAAGTAAATTGTTAAACAGGTGATTTGAAAGTTGAGTCAAGTTTATCTGTACAGCACATGTTAGCAAAAATGTGGAATAAGTGAATATTTTTCCAAACTTCAGAGTTTTACTCAGATTAATCAAAAGCAGCAGTGTGTTTTTTTTGTTTGCGTGTGTGTGCCTGTTTCCCGCAGTGGAAACACAAAATACCATCACCCCCCTGATCTTTGTTAAGAAAACAGAAACCTCATGAAGGAAGATGTGTTTCCACATGTGGGAGACGTTCTGCTTGTGTTCGACTGAGGAAACACAGACACTATAGCAGACTATAAGTTCCCTCTGACTGAGTCACTGGCTGAGCCGTGGGGGCGTTCTGGCCTTTTCATTCCCCGTCCTGCTTCTGAATCCTCTCCTCTCCGCGCCGAGATGTTCTCATCTCCTCCTGCTGGGGTCGATCAATAGGCCGCGCCGTGGCATGAGGTAATGGAAGCCGTGCCGCTGCGCCGTAAGGAGAATTTACTGTCATGTGTTATCATGTCTCTTATCCATACACGTTGTCAATTTCCTGTCGGATTCTTGAGCCCAGACGGGATTTTTTTTTTTCCTCCACGAATGTCAGAGGGCGATGGTGGATGGGTGAAGCGAACATGGATGCATGAAAACGGGTCGAAAGGCTGAAGCTTTTAGCTGGCTTGAGTGCTTGAGACTTTCAGGAAATGCCGTCTCTCCCAGGAGCTTTAGGCTTAAAAAAATAAAAATAAAATAAAAAATATGAACACCTACTCACCTTAGGGCCAGGGATACCTTCTCCTGTTGGTCCTCTCTCTCCTTGGACTCCCTGTGGCCCCTGAGGACCCTGGAAAAAAATAAAATAAATATGTAAAATTACCTTTTAAAAATATCTATTTGGGAGAGGAGGGAGCTAATTCTGACTCAAAATCAGTCGATAACAAGAAGACTCAACGCATTCACTGCAAAGCAAAAAAGTATCACATAGTACTTTTGGTCTAGTTTTGAGTGCAAATATCTTTGTAAACATAAAATTAGACAAAACTAACTTATAACGGACCTTCCAATAAGAAACAGACGCTTGCTATAAGGCAAAGTGCACTAATAGACACTAGGTGGTGCTAGAACACGATTTATTCCCTTCATAGGAAAAAAAAAAAGAGCACTTTTGAAATCTTCTCTTTTTTAGCGTGTAGTGTGTGGGCAATGTAACATTCCTAGTTTTGAGTTGATTTTCACATTTCGAGATGTTGGCAGGAAAAGTGTAGGCTTCTGATATTCTCTTTCAAATTCATCAAACTGTTCTCGTCTGCTTTATTTGACTTCAGTTTTTGATAGTTTATCGCTAGAATGAATTGAGCCATTTCTGCTGCCGTTTTCAGGTTTTATAGGCATTTCAGGGTGTCAGCAATTGTTACAACAGAGAGATTAAAAGGTTATTCGTTTTTATGTGCAACAAAAGGCACATTTTATGTAGAGACAAGCCAGACAGAAGTAGGTTGGAACAGTAAGAAGCAGAACGATGCGTCTGCATTGTTTGTCTGTAATACACAGGTGACACGTTTTGTCCTCGTTTCTAACTCACCGGTGGTCCGGGCTCGCCGATCCCCGTAGGGCCCGGAGGCCCCGGTTGCCCCTGGAAACCGACATCCCCCTGCAGAGTGCGAGATAGCGAGGGGAGTACTCAGACAGGGCGAGACACAAAAAAGGCTTGTGGTTATGTTCTCATGAAATTATTTTTTCGTAACATTATGGCGGTGGATTTTTACCTTTGGTCCCGGAAGACCGATCCCAGTCTCACCTTGGATGCCAGGTGGTCCAGGAAGCCCCCGATCCCCCTATTAAAAAGATAAACATGGGTACACAAGGATGATGTCACTCATCCTTGTGTACAAGCGAGAAAAGTCAAAGAAATCCCACAGACACTACCCACTTTGTCCTGCCTCTACCGCCCATTGACGAAACTTGATTTAAGACTTAATTGTTTTTGTTTTGTTTTTTTAAAGCTGTTGCTTCTCTACATAGTGGCTCTAAATCAAAGCTGTGGTGTTCACAAAAAGGACACATGGAAGGCAGGAAAAAGAGGCGTGGAGATTGTTCTAGGTGCATACCGGTGCTTTTTGTCCCCCACCTCCCCTTTCATTGTCCTTTCCAAGCAAGTTAGGACAATACTTCCCGATAGACACTACATTGCTTTTTTGGTGATGTAGGATGACAGCCAGACTATTAACGTGAACATTTTTCTAAAATAATTAGGAGGCGACCACTTGGTGCAGAGTAAGTGCTTATGGGAGGAACGGCAGGTAGAACACGGCAGAGGAGGCTGAAAGTAGAAGGAACCGACAAATAAGCCGACAAGTTAATAACAGATGAGCTTCTTCGGAGGAGTTTCAAATGTCACAGCGGCGGCGGATCGTAACTCAACAATAAACGCTCAAATGTATAGTTCCTACCCCCAAACCGCCTCCCCCCATTTGCTTTATGAGCTTTTGGAGATACTTGACATTTCTCATGTTATTTATGCCAGCGTTAGGTGATTGTAATCTGAAGTATTATAAATGTCAGCGTCGTGAGAGCAAGTGTTATTTACTGCGCGTTATTCCGAGGGGAAAAAAAAGACTATCGGAATCGAACTCTTTTTAATCATGGTGGGCGATTTTGTGTCGTTGAAACGGTGACGCGTTTGTACACCGTATGCATCTGATTCAAAAAAATGTGACCGACTTGATTGATGTATTTGAGTTATAGGTGGAGACAGGCCATAAAAGCTTCAATTTCCTCACAAAGACACTGTGGTGTTGCCCGGGATTATTAAAAATGATCAAACGGAGTATGAATGATGTCATAGTCATGTTTAGTGTTCGGACTTAATTAAAGGGCGGCTTTAGTTTTCATTCAGAGCCATTTCAAACTTAAATTTGACACAAGCCAGGTAGGGAAAAGAGCAAACATGTGGAAAACGACGATCTGGTATAAATTGTTTGGCCTTCGTGAGAGAAACGAAGTCTTTTTGGTGCCAAATTAATAATGCAGACAAGCTATTTTTTATGAAAAATATGGCTTTTATATTGACAGTTAATTGACTGAATAAGTCAGTCAATTAAAAGGTCTGATTTGCCACACATCCTGTGTATTTTTAATGTCTGAGTGATTCACATGACTTCCCCTCGTCACTCTCACGACTAGCGCTGACGTCTTGACTATTTTCTTATTAGACATTTATGGCTTCAAGGACACGTTAATCATCAGGGAATAGCAGCTTCTTTCCTGTTCCGAAGCCATTTACTTTAATGACAAGTCTTGTTTTCTGTCTGCACAAATGGCTGTTTTTTCCATTCTGTTTTTTCTTTATTTAAATGTTTCAAAAGTGCAAGCAATGAAAATAGCCAGATTCTCTGCAGGTTTTGTTTTCATTGCATATTGTTCTTATGTCAAATTAATGTAAAAAAAAAAAAAAATCTTTGGTGAGAACAAGTAGTAGTCCTGAAGGTTGTGGTCTATCGCAAGGCAGGTTCATTCCTCCCAATTGACCTACTTATTTGTCGATAAGGGAGAGATGGGGAATATGGTTTCCTATCAGCATCTATTATTGGCCCAGTTGGTGCTCTGGTTAGCTACCGCTGGGGAAAGATGATTGGCAAGATGGAGACGTGAAGCTGTTCCTCGTGTGTTAGGTGCAACACACAAGGAGAAAAAGGTTACGCAAGGTCTTAAAAGCTGACACACAAGACTCTTGACATGAAGTTGGATATCTGAATGTGTTGGCTACTTCTGAGAGCGGCCGTCACAGTTTATTTTATGTCCTCACATGTTGGTGCGCTTAAAAAAAACAACACATAAAGTGATCTCTTCATATAAACTGTTGAGAAACATCAAGTTCTGTCATTAGTCTCAGATTAGCATTCATCAATAAAAGAAAAGAAAAAATAAAAGGTAAAAATCATGCTTACTTTTTTTCCCATGATTCCTTCAGGTCCCACATCACCCGGTTGACCTGGCAAACCCTAGAGCACAAATAAAGGTGTTGCACATGTTAAAATATGAGCATGAAACACAAACCACAATAAATCACATGTAAGCTCTTTTCTTGCCACAGTAACAGAAATGAAACATGTTTTGTTCATTTTCTTTTGTTTATTTTCACTGGTCACAGACAAATTTGATTGCAGCCAGAACTGTAGAATCAAAAACAATCCCTCCAAAGGAGGCACAGATGGGAAGACTTTCTTTTTGTAAATTCCTGCAGGAGATTTTTTTTTTTACCTTAAACAGCTTAAAATGCTGGAAAATGTCTCTCGGGTCCAGGTTTGTCTAGTATCAACACTTGTTTCATGATCATAAACATGGATGACAAAAAATCCACAAGACCAACAACTGAAACAATGAATGACTTAGTGATTGCACAGTGAATAATGATGGATTTTTTGGTCTAGAATGGACAATTCTATATATTATTTGGTTGTGTAAAAGCAGTAGCTTGGTTTAAATGATTCAAATGGAAGAATATAAAAAAGTTAACCTGAAGTCCACGGTTTCCTCTTGGACCAATAACACCTTCAGGGCCCTGAAAAAGGACATGGAGTTTTTATCAGAAATGAATGTAATGGATGGTAATAAAAAAAGATGTAAACTGTAGATTACTTTTCAAACAGACAAATACTTAGCTTGAGGTAGATTTGTTTTTTTCATCTCAAGTTGACAAATCAGGCATCACGGTAAAATATGATATTTTATATTTGTTAAGTTGGAATGAATGACAAATAACTACAAACGTACTCTGTCTCCTTTAACGCCTGGTGTGCCACACTCTCCCCTCTCTCCCTGTAAAGGAACAAAGTTTAGGTTCTTTCTCAAACAGCCGTCTACACAAAAAAATTTAATAAAAAATGCTATTTATGGGTTCAGGTTTGAGCTTCTTTGAAACAATTAATGTCATGGGAATATACAGAATCTGAGAGTTTTGCCGTCACAGAAGATAACAGTGTACAGACGATTGCAGCCAGGTCTGAGATTAAACAAAAGACAATAAAATGCCACAATGTTTTCAAAGTTGCAGCATGCCATCATGTCTGAAGCTCATAATCTCCCTGTTACTGTCACTTATAATGCTTTTAAATCAACGTGGGAACCCTTTGTTTTGGAACCTAAAGAGGCATAAGAAGGGTTTGGATTAAAATCCATACAATACCTTCTCTCCTTTGTATCCAGGTTTACCCTGTGTGCGCAAGAGAGTTTTGTTAAATCAAGTAAAGACAGAAGAGAGAGAGAAGGATTTTGGTCAAAGAAGACGAGACATTGGTCATAACTTCATGAACCAAACTGAAGACCCTTGACTCACCTCGGCTCCTTCGCGGCCTGGAAGCCCACTGAGACCACTTTCACCCTAAAGAAAGATTTTGATTTAACGTGGAACCCTTGAACTGCTCGCTGAAGTAGTTGAAGGCTTGTTGCATTGGCAGTACCTTCGCTCCCTTCGCGCCGGGGCTTCCATCATCTCCAGGACGTCCTTTCTTGCCCTAAGGCAAAAGTTGAGGCACATTAAAATCTCAATCACTGAAGATTATTTCATAAGCAGATGTCTCTTCTATTGCTTGATAACTATTTCACTTAAAGAAATGGGCAGCAGCTGATGATCCATAGGTTTTTCCCCTGATGAATAGTCGTTTGCTTTGTGCTTTTCTTTGAGATATGGCTATGGGTAAATGGGTGGTTTGGAATTTGGAGACAGTTTGATGGTAAATGCAGAAGAGCAAACAACAAATCTAGGTGTACTCAAAGTAGGATCTACACTTTAACATACACATAAACCAAACCAAGAAATCAGCCTACCTTAAAAAGATGACCAGAATAAAGGTAATCTTTGGTTTCAAACCAAACATTCAAGCTGCATTGTTTGCAGAAAAAATGGTTGAAGTCACTGAGTGTTGGGAACGGATGAGTCAAACGTAGCTGATGCTGCCTTGTCTACTCAGTTAACTTCTTGGCCTTTTTTGTCTTTTATAATATAGACTCTGAACACTCTTGCCTTCGAGTTATCTCTGGTTGCACACATTGCTTTTGTCACTGTGTCCCTTGCTACCCCTGATGTATAGCAGCTTTTGTTCTGAGCATCAGGAGTAAAGGGGTAATTACTTTGCTCTAATCCAGAGAAAACGGCTTCAAAGCAGGAATCACTTTGACTGTGACCGACCTTCTCTGTTCAGGAAAAGGCGAGTCCGTATCACGACATGCTTGGCAGCCAAAGAAAGTCCTGCATGCAGCCCTGAATCTGCCAATCATGTGTTCTCAGACAGTCCCGAGAGGCAGGATTCCTTCAACAGACGTGACTCTGCTAATTTCCCATGTAAATATACGTTTAGACCTGTTCTCAATAAACTCTTGGAAGAATGTAAAGTATTTGCTTTATTCTCACTGCTTCGGGGAGACAAGACTTCTAAAAACCCGCACAAGTCACTAAACTCTTCCGAACCCTGCAATTATGTAGCCTGTAGGAGCCTTTGTCTGCAGAGCTCTCCTCGGCACTGATTCTTAAGAAGGCAGATTTAACATCTGGGAGCAAAAGAGGAGCACAACACAACTGAAGTGGTTTAATATGGATGTGTTTAGTGATTTTAAAATTGTTGAATAACATGCACATGCATTCCATTTACTGACCACCGGAATTATGTCTTCTTTTTCAATCCCTCTTGCATAATCTCTCTAGATCACCCAGAGTGCCAGGGTCTCTCTAACCATTTTCTCAGGGCAACTAGATCCGCAACATCATAGATCCTCTAGTGCAACGTACTTTTTCCACTTTTGATTCACACCAATCTGACCAGGACTTTCTGTTGCACAAAAACCAAACCCAGGCTTCATCTGACCAAAGCTCATTGTTCCGGTGATGGTTCTGTTGGCGTTTGGTAAACTCCACGTTTATGCTTCTGACAGTACCCTCTTGATGACACTGTACTTTACTGCTGATGTCCAAAAAAATGGGCATCCGTTCTTGACAGAACACCAATGTTCAGAGGAATGCAAAGTGAACTTGTTCTAGAACGAGAGCCCCGTTTGTGGAAACATGCTGTTTGTGGGCCCCTGGTGCATGTGTGTGCATACGAGTCACCATCCCTGACTGGGTGGATGTAAAGTGTGACTTACCGCGGGGCCACTGGGTCCTCTCTCACCTTTCTCACATTTGCACGGGTTCAATTCGAGTGGACACTGGAAAAAAAACATGAAAGATGATGGTGAAAACGTGCACAAGAACAACAAGCAGACAGAACTTGCAACACTGGTAGTTTTGATACTTACACCTTCTTCTGCCAGCGCCGTCTGCAGGGCGAGAAAAGGAACAGAGTCAAGTCATACAATCACTTTTAATGTGGAGTGAAAACATTGTTTTTAAAAATGAGCCTCACGCCTGGTAAAATTTTACAAACAATTTGAATTCAATGTGTGATGGATTCAATTGGAGTTCAATGCCTTTTACGCAATTCTGACTCACAATTTTACAAAGCTTTATGACCGGTGCTGGGTAATAAAATGCAGTAGTGCTTTGATAGAGTCCGAGCTCTCTAAATTGATACCAATCTGAATTTTTCCTTCAGCAACAGAGAAGCTTTCAGTGCCGCTGTGGTTAGCCTGGCAGGTTCTCTTTAGACTCGGCTGGTCGGGATTAACTGATTTCACTTCCTCATACTACAAACTACCAGATGCTTAAACTAGAAAACACAGTCTTAAACCATCTATGAAGCATCCTTCTGAAAGCGGTTGCTCTTTATTTTTAAGCTGTTTTCATCAGAGGACTTCCCAGATGGTTTGGTGAAACAAACCATCTGGTGCGACGGATTATTTCCCATACTTTCTCTTGTTCGACACGTCTTGCCAGAACAATCATTTGCTTTCACTGGAAAGCAAATTAAATTCTCGTCTATGCAATGCAGAGAGATTTAAAGGATAAATTGGCCAAATTAAATATTCCACCAAAGAACCAGGAGGGGTTCTGGTTTGAGACGTGAAGTCAAATAAAGAGTCGGTTCACTCTTGAGGAATAGAGTCCTGCGGTTTAATGCTGGGGCTAAAGATAAAAGACATGCTCTCGGCTGGTACAGAGGCACATGCTTATGACATACAGATGCTGCCTATACAAGGAAATGAGATGAAAGTCTGAGTCCTAGCTGCTCCTGCTGCTGCTGCTGCTCTGCTGGGTCCTAGCATGCCAGTAGAATGTATTAGATGTTTTTGCACCATGTTCCCCATAGAGTTTTTCATCCATCACATTTAGATGCGTGTAGCACTTGTGTCAACACTTAAGCTCGGGTCTAAAGCAGCGTTTGAAGTGTTTGTTGGACGCTGTTGCGTGTTCTCAGTCTCATGCCGCTTACTTCACCCGATTTTCCCCACAAAGTGTTTTAATGCGGAGCATGTGTGGCGACCGAAAGCAAGACGTCGACTCCGGGATGCTGTTGCGCAGCCCTGTATTCTAATTAACACACCAGTGGCTAATAAAAGTCAACTGTTAAAGGTTTACATAAACAATCGAGGGCGAATGCTTTTGCAGAAGTTCCATAGCATGAACGTTCACAGACAAATCCCTTTAAGGTCTTTGACGTTCTCTGCCAACTCAAGAGGGCGTGTAGGAAGCAATCTCAGCAAACAGCGTCCAGAGCAGACCTGTTAGTCTAGCAGCAGGTGTACATTAGGGATGCAATAAGCCAGGAAATCAGAGCATCGGCCGCCGTCAACAGCGGAAGCAGGGGAAGTTGTTATTGGGTGCATGGTGAATCTTAAGGCGCTAACATTTGGAAAACGTCTGTTCACATAATGGCTTTTTGAGGCTTCCATCTCCAATCAATTTCTGCCCTCTGGAGAGAAAAAAAAGCAATTATCAAACACACACACATGCAATTTCACAAGTGATATAAGTTCCAGTGAAATGTTGTGGGCTTTTGGGTGTTTATGCAAGTCTGAGCATGAACACCAAAAACATGCTACCTCTGATCTGCCTCCCAAATGAAATTGTTTGGAGGAATTCAAAAACTTGCCAAGTTGTCAGTTATTCCTTTTTTTTTTTTGCTTGTGTGTGTGTGTGTGTGTGTGTGTGTGTGTGTGTGTGTGTGTGTGTGTGTGTGTGTGTGTGTGTGTGTGTGTGTTTGCACAGGTGAACTAACAAGACATTTCGCCTCTATACGCAACACAAATGGGACATTTTGAATTAGTGGGACAGTGCCGATGTCCTCATAATTCTAGCAACAAAAAAACGATTGGAGGGGGTTTCAATGGATGCCAAAGGGTTAAATTCCAAAAATCAGGCAAAGTCCCAATTATTCACATTTACAAGACATTTGTGTGTAACCTGTGTATCGCTTTTACGCCCCGGGTGGTAACTATGGGTACTGCACCTTCTCATGAATTATTCACACAAGTGTATTTTTTAGACATGCTGATTGGCCAGCATATGGGAGTCCCTGTAATGAAGGTTTTTGTGCGGAAAATGTGTGTTAAATAACAATTCTCCTAAAAATATGCTACTTTATTGAATTAAATTCTGGCTAAGTTAAAACAGTGATCATATTAGATGTACTAAATCTGTAGTTGGCTGTTGGGTGATTCATTTCAATAAAGTTAATCTTTAATCTATGGTTTTATAGCATACTGAAGGAGGTAGGAGGATTAATAACATTGAGACTAAAATGTCAGTGGCATAATGATATGGTATTACTGACCATAACATATTTTTGGATTGTAAATTAAATGTTGAATGATTCAAAGATAGCTGTTAATAAATCTTGGGTGATTGAAAGATAATTATCACATGCAAATGTAATAGTTTAGGTGTAGGGACAAACCTTATTCAACTAAATCCTAACCTACAGTGATGCAACTCACTAGATGTTGCAGATTTAATGAGAAAATATTAATTTTACTAAAAAGAGACATAGACATGGGCAATAACAGTGAGACCTGGAGGGGCATTTCTTCCCTAGAGGGAAGAAATGGATCTCCTGATCTGAACCTGAGTGGTGTTCAGTTGTTGGACTTCTGTCCAACAGCTGGAAAGAAGTTGTCCAGTTGGTGGACAACAACTGTCCAGTTGGTGGACAACAACTGTCCAACTGGACAACTGAACAACTGTCCAGGGACAACTGTCCAGTTGTTGGACAACTGTTCAGGGACAACTGTCCAGTGTTTGGACAACAACTGTCCAGTTGGTGGACAACAACTGTTCAGGGACAACTGTCCAGTTGTTGGACAGTTGTCCAATTTTCCAGTTGTTGGACAACTGGACAACTGAACAACTGTCCAGTTGTTGGACAACAACTGTCCAGTTGGTGGACAGTTGTCCAGTTTTCCAGTTGTTGGACAACTGAACAACTGTCCAGGGACAACAACTGTCCAGTTGTTGGACAACAACTGTTCAGGGACAACTGTCCAGTTGTTGGACAGTTGTCCAGTTTTCCAGTTTTGGACAACTGAACAACTGTCCAGGGACAACAACTGTCCAGTTGTTGGACAACAACTGTCCAGTTGGTGGACAGTTTCTTTTTTTAAGCCACAGGCTTAAAAAAAGATTGGTTCTGTTCTGGGGACGACTGTCAAAATTCTGAAGATGATGATCTTCATCATGATTTTTTTGATTTTGCATAAAATTAAAAAAAGTTTTAGACAATACTGACCATCCTGCTATTTCAAATCCGAGTCTCTTCAGCCAGACGTTTCTTCAGATTGGTTGTAAAACGAACTGCTACAGGAGATCTTTCTTTGCTGTCACAATCCATCATAACTCCTTAATTAGATAGGAGTTTAATTTCCATTTTGAATAAGCAAATTACTTTTGAATTTAATTGAATAAAGACCCAATGAGATCAAGATATACACCACAGGTCACTAATAGGTGGACCCTGGTCTGCATCTAGAATAAAATGAGGTCTCTTGCGGACCCAAAATCTGATACCAAAACAAAAATGACAACCTAAAATTTTGTTGAGCACTGTTTGATTTACTGGTGCAGATTTTACTGACTAAGCCAGTGTTTCTCAACCCTGATCCTAATGTTGGGTTTATTTTGTTCCCCAACCTGCAAGAATCAAACAAAAACACACTTACTTTTCTGCAGAAAAGGGGAGAGAGCCAGACACGGACAACCATCGCTAAACACTGTCTGGGCTCAACTCCACTGGCTCTCAGTCCCCAACTGCCTTTTATTATGTTAACTAACAAAGGGGTGGGGTTTTTCACACAATCATACAAGTAATTACAAACAATTGACCAATATCCTACAGCTACAGGATGTTCTGGAAATCTTCCGTTGATGTCCCATTGTTGGAACACAAGGATGGCCACTCTCAAGATACAGATAAAGATCAACACAGCTTGTAACACAGGAATGTGTGAAACATTTCTAAACCCTTAACAGAACACCTAAGAGATAGTCAAAGGTATATATACTATGAGAGGAAGGAGTCAAGAAAATAACACACAGAATAATATGAAAACATAACCATTCAAATAAAAGTAAATGAACTAAGAGATTTTTTTTTCCTAACATCCTCACAGCTCCCCTGTCCTGCATGTTTTAGGTTAGGGGTCACCAACACTAACGCCCAAAGGGACCTTCTCAGTTGGAGCTACTTCTAAAAATAACCATTACAGTAAGGAGCACTAACAAAGAATAATTTAATTAAATGTTTTTACATTGAAGTAATGACATTTGTTTATTTTTAGAGTTCAAAAGAGGGAAATTGTTGGAGAAATTGTGACTTTATTAATCAAATATTAGTTATTTTCATATAACCTTGTCATCATTGTAGAATTAAGAATGTTTCTATGTTGTTGATTTACTCTGATTCCTTTCTTTACAAGATGTCACTGATGGGAAGCAGAGACAGCAGGTTCCTGGAGTATCTCTTGGTCAGAAGTTCAGCTATGTTGACCTGTTGGACTGCTATAAAACTGTCTCTGTGAAGATTCACTACATGTTCTGTTAAAAACTCTGTGTCCGGAATGAGATTATCTAGTGCAGAATAATTTGTGACTTAGTTAGTGAATGACAATCAGCGCTGTAGCTATGTGATAAATATGCATAGTCTGAAATGGGTATTGTAGCTGTGGAAACTGGCCCCTTTTAGGTCGAATATTTCCCTGTGGATTATGTTTTGCACAGATTGTACATGCTCTACAGAACTTTTTAGCATATACATTAAAACCAACCACTGAAAAATGTTGCTGAATTATATGAACCATCCCCCTTGTGGAAACGTGACAATTCCCATGAGACAAAATTGATGCAGCATTAAAAAGGCTCAAATGGATATCTGAGCCTTTTTGAGGGG